CCCCGCGGCGGGTTCCCCGCCCCTCGGAAAGCGGCCGTGGGGGCCGGCTTCAAGATGGCGGCGTAGCCCCGCCCCCTCCGGCCGCGGGCTCGGCCATGGCGCGGCCGGGCGCCCCTCGCCACAAGGTACCGAGAGTTGGGGGCGCCTGGGCAGCCCCGGGGTTGTCGGGGGGCCGGTCACCTCGGCTGTGACGTCAGATGTGATCTCGGCTGTGATGTGAGCTCGGGTGTGACGTCAGATGTAAGCTCACGTCAGCCGCGCGCTCACCTGGGCTGTGACGTCAGATGTGACTTCTGCCGTGAGGGGGGGGCACGGCCCAAGGGTTGAGAACCTCTGGGGTAGATGACCTTTGCAGGGCCCTTCAAGCCCTACTTCTCCGTGATTTCTGTGACTCAAATGGCTTAAAAACAGGCTATAAAACGCACTATGTGGCCCCGCATGGGCCGCAGCTGCAAAGAGTGCTGCCCCAGATCCCGCACGTCAGTAAATGGGAGAATTGAGCCCGTAGTGTTGCTTGCTGCACCACTTTCTCTAATTTCAACATGTTGCCTCAGGCTTAATCCATTGATACGCCTCTACGGTACTGTTGCTTTAAAATTATTCAAAGAATTTGTTATAAATATACTTTTTATGTAATCTACAGGTTCTTTCTTCAGGAAGGCTAACAGGAACAGCCAAACCGACAAATGGAAGAAAACAGTAAGAACTTCACGTTTTCTAATAGTGCACCTGTATGCATTTAAAACACTCGCACGCATCACAGCCTAGTAGCTTGTTACCCGTTCTTGATGTGTCTCTAATAAGTTGCTGCTGAAAGGTAGCATAAGTTCGTTACCCCGTGAGCTGTCGGACAGACAGCACTTCAGTTGAGTCTAATAAAATTTATGCTTGTGGAAGGAATACAGAATTATCCCCTTTAATAACCAACGTCATCAGTTCCATGGTACACTTACATATTAAATTCACCAAGTTAGTGAACATAATTACTAATCTCATGTAAACTGGCTTGATCAAGGTCAAGTCTTGCTCTGACTTGCTGTTGATCTACGTGAGAGTTGAATTATCTCAATGCAGAATTTGTCCCTTATCTTAAATAGCTCATTGCAAATGTGGTTGTGTGGCGTTTCAGATACGATACTGAATGCTGAGCAGTGGAGGGATTCAACTTTCTCTCTATATGTTAAGAGGATATAAAAAGTGAATGTCTCTTTCAGGATTGGGTTAAGAAAAGCATGCCATTCTGATGTGGACTCTGGATATTCTCTCTACTCGACTGACTCCGAGGATCAGGTATTTGGGGACTTTTTAATGCGAGTAAGAAAATAACAGACATTATTTGAAACACGTAATCTGCTAAATGGAGGTTCACGCAGCAACATGATTATACATTTGTTATTGCTTTGCTAATATATTTCCACTGATGACTTGTAAATTAATCTTAACTGTGACTCACCCTGGGAACAATGCCCTCAAAAAATAACTTTGTTTCATTGTACTGTACCTGCATGTTGGACAAAAATGTGTACCTGTATTTTGAGTGTAGCTCTTGTTTTGTAGGTGGCAACTATAAATAATGGGCTTGATCGTTGTGCAGCTTTACTGCAGGGCATCTTGCAAAATGAGGCGACAGGTACCTTTATAAATTAAGTTAAATTTTAATTTCTGTAACACTGTTTTAATTGCTTTTGTTGAATGGCCTTTGTTTCAACTATATTTTAGGAAAAGAAACTGTACGTCAGAAACCAGGGAGAGCAACTTCTGTTAAGGCTGCTTCTAGACCATTAGTTACCAGAGGAAATACCTCAAAAAGAAAAGGACTAAAGAAAAATCTTCTTGCAGCCCCTGTGCATAAAGAAGTTGGTAAGCCATTTTTCTTCCTTTGCCTGTCACCTAAAAGTTTGATTTCCTTCTTTAAATGCTTGTTGTTCGTTACCTTATCCACAGAGTTAATTAACTTTGTTATGATAATCTGCAACTTCCTCTCTTGTTTTTAAATGCTAGTTTAGTAAAATAAACAACTAAGTTGCACGAATTTTTGTAGATTGTATTTAAATCAATGAATTGAAATAATATCCTTTACCGTATGCACCAGACGATAACTTTATGAATGATTGTTCTTTTGAATGAGAATCGAGAGCTAGAGTCACAAAAGGATTCTGGTGCTACAGTGTTCAGCAGCTCTTGGAGCCTGTAAGTGGCTTGCTGCCTGGTGGCATCCCCCCTTGTCTCTCTGAACACAATGCATGGGAAGAATTTGGTGCATAGAAGGGACATCCAGCAGCATAAGCAAAGATCCACCTAAGGTAGCCATTAAGAAAGGAGAGGAATTAGGCCTATGCCCCTTTCCTTTAGGCAGGATTCGTTGTCTCTGCCTTCAGGCACATGAGTAATTACGTGGGGGTTTTATGATTTGTTCTTCAGTTCCTGAATTGTACTACATAAGTGCTTTTTTTGGATGGTCCTAAGATACTAGAGGGTATCAGAGTGAGCCCCTTGGGACTATGAATAATTTTTAAACTTTATACAGTAAAAGCCCTGTTGTCTAGCACAAGTGAGGAATGGGGGGTGCCAGGTATCTAAAAATCCCAGTTACCTGAGGCTGGCTATTTTTCAACTGGATGTGTGGTGGGGGCTGGATATTGAGTGGCAGCAGTGCAAGGTGGCAGTGGTGACTGCTGCGTGTGAGCTTTCCCCTCACCTTGCGTCCAGCCGGACGGAATTCCAGTTAATAGGTATTCCAGTTAGGAAAATGCCAAATAACGGGGCTTTTATTCTAGTTTGATTTTTAAAGTTTGATTTTTTTTTTTATTTTTTTGTGCTGTAAATAATCCTCATTGTGTAATAAGAATAAAAAATACTGACTGGCTCCTCAGTCAGTGAACATTGTCCATTCTATGCACTGATTGAGACAGTAGCCTGTAAAAAAACAAAAAACCAACAACCAAAAAAACCAACCCAGCATGTAATCGAGTAAACATATTTACAAGGTATCACAGGTTTGTTTGTTGCCTGTGCGACTTCTGGGGGACGTGTTGTTTGTTTTTAACTTAAATTTCATTAATGGGACTCTAAAAATTAAAGAATAGAACATGGAACTGTAGCTTGTGAAGCCATGCAAGTGTCTCTGGGGTAAAGAGACAGTTGAGCACAGTTTTGATGATCATAGCTATCACAAACCTATGATCAGATCTGACCCTAGGGGGGTGCAGGGGCTGGGACAAATCGGCCTGTGCGGGGCCCCCTTAACACTGCGTGGGGCCATGGGACTCGCACAAAGGTGCGGGGTCTCCGTGCTTCTTCCGCAGCACGGGGCTGAGCCACCAGCTCCAGGCGGGCCCTGTGGAAGGGGCCACAACTGCTCCACCCAGCTGCACGGGGCCCCCCACAAAGCGTGGGTCGGGGGGCAGTCACCTCGATTCACAGTACCCTAGGGATGGCTCTGCCTATCATAGTTAATAAAAACATAGACCCAAAGCCTTGGTTTTACAGTAAGACTACTTCAAGTGCTGAGGTCTGTTGCTTCATTAGGCACCTACAAGTCCAGTAGGATTCAATTTTTTTCCCTTTTTTTTTTTTTTTTTTTTTTTTTTTGTAATTGGTTAGATGTTTAAACCTTTGAAACTTGAGATCATAAATTGTATTTCTTTTAATTGAGGAGCTATACTGTGTACTTGAGTACTGTGTACATGTAAAAAATTGGGTTTTGTAGAGAAGTAAAGAAAAATAACTTTCAGCTTTTATTCATAGTGCCAGGATTAAATAGGAAACTCACCTCAAGTGCCAGACCTGCTGAAAAAGAGGGAGAACTTTCCAGTGCAGTACAAAATCAGTCTGTTCAACCAATTCATGTGCCTTTCAGTCAGCCCTCTCCTGCGATGCATCAAAAACTGTGTGAGCATGTGCAAACTCAAATGGCTCTAATAACGGGTCAGGCTTCACAGAGCTGTAATGGAATTTCTGCAGTACCTCCTTGTCCCGTGTCAGATCCTGGTTAGTATGAATTTCTCCTTATAACTAGACCCCTCTTTGTTTTTTGCTTGCATTTGTTTTCACCAAAAATTATCCTAACATTTAACAATACTTTTTGTTCCAGGATATCAAAATGTTACAGCTTTTAATTATCGCCTACCTACCTCAACACCAGCTCTGTCCCCACAGCATTCAGCTAATCCTTTGACTATTCAGTCTGTAAGTACATTTGTTTTAAACTATAAACAAAGATTTAAACTTCATGTTGTTGCCTATTTCATTCTATGATTTTTTTTTCTATTTGTACTAAATTTATCTGCTTTTTAGATGTTAACTGGAATTTTTTCATAAGGAAAAAATAGCTGCAATGTGTGGCTCACTAAATCCACTGTAATGGAAATATAGCTCTAGTGGTGTTTCTAATAAAAAAAAATATTTAAATTAGATGATCAGGTTTAGTGGTGAGCTAAAAATCACCTAAAGTCCTGCATAGACTCAAAAATTGTTTTGCAGCTAAATGTTCAATATTCTTTCAATTAAGAAAATTGATAAAGTCTGTAGGGGGTGATCTCCTTTGAAGGTTATGCTAAAATAATTGAGAGGAAAATAGGAGATGGACCTCTTGCAGGAGAGAGAAAGGGGAGAAAAAAATGATATAAAGGTGATGTACTAATAACATGGTTGCAAGCATTGCTACTTAAAGTAGTATGTCTCATTTGGATACCGCATAGCTCACTTCTTCTGGCTGAGACTTGTATGTTTATATAGTGAATTCTATGAATGGCTAGATCCAAAAATTGACTTGAGTCCTTAAGTCCAAAATTGCAATCCAAAAAATCCTTGGGCAGTAGTTGCCTAACTCTGCAGGTGTCTAAATTCATTATACAGGCAGTCCTCAGACTTGCAACACAATCGGCTCCTGAAAACTGTGTCTTAAGTCGAAACATTGCAACTTGGAACCAATTTTTCCCATAGGAAACAATGTTATAAATGGGGGATTGGTTCCTGAACCCAGGCCCGATACCCTATTTTCACCAAAAATAACCCAGAATTTTGTACTTGATCAATTATAGATGAGTAATATAGCTACATTAATGTATTTATATTATAAATAGCAAGCATATGGATTGGAAAGACTTCTTTGAGGTGACTTTGCCAGACTTTTTGAAGGGCTCTTGGCTGGAGTCTTCTCGGGAGTCTTGGCTGCAAGTTTTCTTGAGTCTTGTCTGCTTTCTTAAAGAAAGTGTCCAAGGAAGTTTGGACAGACGTTCTCCAGGGAGATGGGTGATGCAGGGAACTTGTTCGCTGGCATGGCTTGGCCTCGAATCAAGCATTGTAAAGTTGAAACTGATGTCAGAAAGTTGAAACGGAGTCAGTTGATAAACGTTGTAAGCGTGAAATGTGGTAAATCAAGGACTGCCTTGTACACCATCCTTTTTGACCTGGAAGTTCCTCAGGTACCTGCAGAAGTGGGTGTATGTGTGCGCGCGCACACATGCATCCACTGAGACTCTAATGTAAAATCCACAACTACTTCAAGGAGAAGGAACTGGAGAAAAAGATTTCCCCCTTCTCAGCTGAGTGTCCTGACCACAGGCTTACGAAGTCAGGTTCCCTCTTGACCTCATGAATCTTGTGTTTTGACCACAGTGGCTGAAGCTCAGCAAAAGGTTTTGGGCATGCACTCACACTGTCTAGCCTGTAATGTTATGGTTAGGATACTCTCCTGAGAGATGGGAGATTAAGGGAATTCAAGCCCTGGCTTGAGAGGGCCTATAACTCATTCAAGCTTCCCTCTGCCTGGGTGAAGAGGCTTTAACTTCCAGGTTATTGTGTGATAACATGGGTAACTTTCATACCAGCTCCTCTTTTGTTGTGATTTTTAAAAGTGAGTCCTACTTGCTTTCAAAGAATATTTGCTGCCTTAACACACTTCTGAGCTGTGGGGAGAGGTGGGTACATTCTTGAGAACTTGTACTGCAAAGTCAACAAGTCTAGTTACCTTAACTCAATTTGCCTTTTAATTACTCCTGAGCACAGTGGAAGGTTAGACTGTGGAGGCTGAATAGATTTGCCACTTATTACTTGCAATATAAAAATAGCCCATAGGAAACAAGATCACATTAGCTTTTAAGCACTGAAAGAAACCAGACCGCTACATTTTGTTTTGTTTGTTTGTTTAATTAGTATATATTTTTGCTTAGGGCCTTCCTCCTGATGGTTGCAACCAGTGTGCATCGCAGGTAGGAGGTACTGTGTTTTTCCCAGGAGTTTCTGCAGCCGCTCCTACTGCACAGGTGCAGTCTGTCACCACTGGTCCTGGGATGATGCCTTGTGTACCTCCAGCCATGTCAAATAATCCCCCAGCACCTCTGTTCCTTCCCTCGTCTGGTAATGAGATATTGCCAAGCCAAGGAAACCAGGAGCAACGAGCAAAGGAGGCGGACTTGATAAGATGCATACAAGCTCATCTGGCTCTGTTACAGCCACATGAGGCAGAAAATAACAAGGGTGATGAGAACCACCAGAATCTTGGTCCAGCACCGTCCCAAAGCTTGGATCCCAGAGAAGAGGAAACTGCTGCAGAATACAGCGAGGGCACCACCAGTGAAGAAGAGGACTTGAATATGCTGGATATAGCACCAGTAAGAGATACCAGCTGTCAGACAAGTTTTGAGAAGAAAGTTTTAAAACATAAAAAAGCAAGCCCAGAAAAAACAGCCCAGAAAGTTAAAACAGTAAAATATCTTTTGGGAGAGCTCAAGGCACTGGTGGAAGATCAAGGTAAAGATGGTTTCATCAGTACATATTTATAACCCTATGTGCTATGGTATGTGGGTGGGGGCGAACCGTTATAAATCCATAATATACCAATACTAATGCAGGATTGACTATTGAATTTCAGTTGTTACAAAATTACAATTCAGAATGATTTTTTTTTTATAAGCACTGTCTGTAACGGAGCTATAGGCTTTGGTGTGAAGAAGCCAAATGTGAGTTTAACATCTTGGACAACAATGAAAAAGCTAGAGTATTTTTAATCTATAGGCATTCAGGCATTTTCCTTGAGAAGGGAGCAGAGAATAGTGTGATCAGAATGTGGAGGAAGTCCCATGGAGGGCTCAAAAGGAAGGTTAATGCTATAATTTGAGGGATCTGGAGCATAGTTCATGAAGTGCAAATGGTGCTGGGCAATTTAATGATATGCTAATGTTGGAGGGCAGTAGAGTTTGCATTCAGACACTGCAGAAATAAATGTGTGTAAATGTGTAGTGCATATTGCTATTCATGTTACTTTTTTTCTTAAAGATGATTCAGAAATTTTGAGGCTGATAAGTGAAATCGATGGCTGCGTCTCATTGCTGCCAGCAGTAGTTGGAACTACAAATGTACAAGCTGAAATAGCACTTGCTTTACAGCCTCTCAGAAGTGAAAATGCCCAGTTGCGGAGGTCAGTAGCCAAGTTCAAAACCGTGTGTGATGTTGCTAATTAACTTCAGAGTTCTTAACTGTATATTGTAGAATAGTTCTGTGCAATTCCAGGCTCATCTCATTCTTGTCCACTTTGCATTCATATAAAGGGCTTTTGTTTATACATGTATAAGTTGCTGTATTATATATTTTTTTTAAAAATCACTTATTTACATTTAACTGAGCACAAATTCTATTACCGTTTATGTGGTGTCTCATATATCACTATTTCATTTCATGCAATTTGAATAAGAATCCTACTACACATAAGTAGTGATGCTTTTATTCCGCTCTCTTTTTTTTCCAAGTGAAATTGTAGTCTGCTAAAATATGTCTACACGGCATATCTGTGTAATGCTATACAAAGATGCCCAAACCATCTCTGAATGAGTTAATTTAGGAAACAGTTTAGCAGCATTAGTGCAGCTCACCTGGGCTGAGTAGCCCTGCTGCACAGAACCACCATGCTAATAGAACTAGATTATTTCCGATACATGAGCTACCTCTGGTATTTCTGCATAGTGCTTCATGGTGCCACATGCGTGTGTGTATCTTTTAGTTGAAAGCACAGAACAGAACAAGAACTATGACTCAAATCTCAGCCTTGGACTTGAGGTAAAGCAGGAGATTACTGCGTTTTTTTGCATACAGCACGCCCCCCAAAAGATAAGCACTTTGTATTTGAAAGGCAGAATTAAGTAAAAAGATCTTTCCTTGAAAGTAATACTAAGTAGTTGTAACTGAGTAGCAGCAGGTAGGGAGCCCAGTGTGCTCATAGGGCAGAAACTGCTATTACCATATTTCCTCACTTACAATGTGCCCTCTGCCCCACAAAAATTCCCAGCAGCTGATTTTTTGGGGGGAAAACATGTTCTATACAAGAAAATATGGTGCTTAACCCACTTGGGTCTCAGATTTAGTATTTTCATTTTACAGCTAGGTATGTACTGCCTGTATAAAGCATCATAAAGTTTAACTTCACATCATTCAGACATGAGCAGAGGCTCTCATCACAAGTTAATTTTAATAGAGATAGGCTAGATGTTCTGGAGGATGCTTGGTGTAAGCTGTGAAATTTTTTTGTGTTTGAGTTTGAGTATAAGCGATGGAATTTCAGAAATGGGGAATCCAGTTGGAGTTGGAAATCATTTTGAAAGAAGCAAGCATGCAAATAGCTAGTTTCTGCATCTAGTTAGTAGTAGCCTGCAAGTTTTTAATGCTCATTTCTTTTACCTATATTTGAGAACATAACGTTATCTTTTTGGGGGGAAAACAAAAGGAGGAGCATAATTTTTAAGGATTCTCTTTGTTGAATAAGCTTTATTCCAGGAAGCAATCCACCTTCAAAATATAGTACTAAATAGTTATCATACTAGTATGTAAAGGTGTAATAAGGTTCTTAGACAACTTATTCTTGAATGCTGAAAATAACTTATTTCAGAACAAATACAAATGAACGCTCTTCTCCCCTGTCAAACTGGAGTGAGGTTGCCAGGTTTGAAAATGGCTCACTTGGTGTAAAGAAAGTTAAAATTGCTGTGTTTGAGAAAATAATTCATTCAAACGTTTTTCTTGTCTAAGTCTAATAATGTATTGTTGGTTTCCTTTTTTAATTAAGTTAGCAAATTTGTTACATACAAACCCATTCTGAAATACAGTTTCTTTTGAATTTGTTTTGTACTTGAACTTTCTCCACGTTATGCTCTTCCACAATTTGCATTTAGGAGAGTAAGGATACTGAACCAGCAGCTCAGGGAACGAGAGCGAACTGAGAAGGAATCCAGCCAGGATTGCCACTTTGAATGCAAGTACTAGTGGGCCTTGGATAATGTTTGGGGAATCCATATAAAGATTTTTGTTTTAAAATATGTTGAAAATGGTATCTATAAAGAGCTAATCTTGTTTTTTTGTTCACCTTTGGCTGATAGTGGCACTCAGGAAAGAGGCTATGGTGTGAATCTTGCACTCAGACCCACATAAATGGGTTGTTATGCCTATTTAGAGCTCTGATGAAGTTATTGGGGGGTCTGTCACAGACATCAGGGTCCTGTTGGGGATGATAGACAGATGATTTACCAGACCACTGGAGTGCGTAGAATGCAAGTGCCTATTATATTTCTGTAAGCAAAGATATCTTACTAGGAGTTTTGAACTACTTTATGCACCAGGCATCTGAGCTTACAGCTAACCTTAAAGGAGAACTGCAATTTTCCTTTTATCTTTTTGGGGAGCTGGGCAAAAAAAACAAACAAGCCCTAAATTGACAGTATGTCACTTAAAAACAGTTAATCTCTTCCCAATTAGTGGAATGGTGGGTAATGTTACTTGAACAGCAGTCAGAATATTCCAGTATCTTGAGAAGAGAAATAATGTTACTTGTAAAATTTGAAGTTCAGTACTGTACTTAAAAGCAAAGCACCAGTACAGAAATAAATAATTGATTCAACTGTACTTTGAGAATATGAAACATCACTATACATTCTTTCTTTGTGAAAAGGGGAAGCATGTTGGTACAGACTTGCAGGTTTAGGCTGTATCGAGCCATGTACAGGGATGTAGCTGTCCCTAGTCTTTTGTAGGGCTTCTCCTGTTTTCATTGCATCCTGTAGCAGTATGCTTTAAAAGAGCAGAGTAAATTTGTCCTTTAAATACGTTATTGTAAATACGTATCCTGCATCATAAGAAACAAGATTTTTAGTGGAAATCAACTACGGTGTCTTTAATGGCTGCTATCTCAACAGGATTATATTCTTTAAAGATTTGGGGCTAATGGAAATCTTTGCAAAATTCACAAATATTTTTTAATATTTGTCAAGTATCAGATGGTAAAGAACAAGAATCGCATCGCTAAAATTTGATTTATGCTTCCATTTTACATGAGATTTGTTGCTTTGTAACAGAATTGCTGTAATCATTTATTCTTTGTAATTTCTGAAAAATCTGGATCCCCTCTTAGATTTTAATAGTTACAAATTATGTTACTTTGCGGCATTGAAATGAAACTTTAAAAAAATTACTGTGTCTTTTTATTTCCTGTAGTAGTTTCC